ACGTTTGGGCGCCAATTTAAATGTTTTTGTTTCGGCTGGCGCCGGCAACAAAAAAGCCACGCGGCCGCCCCCCCCCCCCCCCGCCCGGGGGGGGGGGGGGGGGGGGCGGCCGCGTGGCGTTTTTGTTGCCGGCGGCAGCCGAAACCAGAACAATGGCTCATGAATCTTGGCTGCTGAATACAGCTTATTCTTCAGGTTACCTTGCTTTAATTAATGGAAGGAACTCGTAAATGAGCATGCAATTCACCGTGAATTAAATCTTGGATTTTTTTTTTTTAAGGTCTGCATGATAAATATGTTATCTGTATTGATTTCTTTTTATCGATTACATTGTCAATGAGTTTCTTCTAAAGGTGAGCTGAGTTATAGTTCCATTTCATATATCCCCTGTATACCCCTAAGTATTGCTGATATATCTATTACAATGAAAATATGTTTAATTAGAAAATGCCACGGTCTGAAACAGAAGACTTGCTGTGTTGAAGGCTGCTATTAGACAGCAAACCTTGGATATTGACCTACTTAAAAAGTCATAGTACTTGCATTTATCTCCCTTAGAATTATTTTGGAGAGAAGTAGACTTTGTGATCCTCTTAGGAGAATAGAGGATGTAGGGGCACAATTTACACAAACATAACATTTTGTATTGACATCCTTCTGAAAACCCTGGCAGCGAATATCTTGCAAAACACATTGTTTTTTCTGTTGACAATATTCAAGCTTAGATGGCTAGCAGCACAAAACTGATATCGAGTTAGAGTTGGTGGTAACTGTTCATATAGCATAGCAATAACACTGGTTCATCAGTGTTAGCATATGTTTCTTTTGTTGTGCTGCCAAGTGATTCTTGTATTGTGCTGCCAAATAAACTAAAGCATGTCTCTGTTGCAGGTTTTAATGTTTTTGTGATATGGAAAAGAGTAATCTTTGAAGTTTGTCAAGTAAAAGTATATATGGTCGAAGATGATGTTCATTCTCCCGAGTTTGTGGACTTAAAAAGCTGCATATTGGACGTCATGAGTTTGTCCTCTCCACTCAAACGCGCTGTCACAGAAGCTAAATGGTGAGCTCCACTTTTGTATTTGTAAGTCTAGTAATATGGCTTATGGTTTTGTGGTTTATTTTTTAGATCCCTGAAATTATGTAATGCAGACTGAAGAAAAAGCAGGTATGGTGTGATACATGCAAGTTGTGCCATGTTGGTATAGTCATTAGATGAAAAGACTTACCTGAAGGCGTGCACGCTGGCCATGCGATGTGCAAGAATTCTCACACGATGGTAGGAGATGTGACTTAGAGGGAGTTCCTGTCTGCAGTTAGGAGTGCTGACCTTGAGTTACAGAATGGTATTCTGCATTACCTGAGGTGGTAGAGGCCAGCTTTAAGCCTTGCACGTGGCTTTTATTTTTTATAATCTGATGTGTGTTTGATTTTTGGCACAATTCAATTAAAGTAAGCTCCAATTCATTCTTTTTATGTTAGCTGTGAGAGCTGTTTGTCACTATTTAAAGTCTGATTATACAGAACTGCCAGTTGGATAGGAACAGCAAAGTTCCATGAATACGAACTTTGGTTGGGAAATCAGACTGCAGACTACTCCTTCAGCTGGGGAATTTTAGAAAAATTCCACTTCTCGGTAATCAGTGAAAGAAAATTTCTCTCTGTTATGAAATTACTTTACATTTTCCTCCAGATGTGGAAGAAAAACTGTTTCTGCAATATTCTAAGTTCACTGTAGCTAGCTGACTTGTGAACTGAATTTAAACCTTTTTGAGTTATACAAACTGCAATGTAGAACTGAAAAGCTATTTCAGCTGCTCATATGTGTTCTTGAAGAATCTTAAAGTACTACAGAAAATGGTGTCTTAGATAAAAGCTGTAGTTGGTAAAGTACTTGTTTTAGTTCAAAACCAATGATTGATGAATTATTAAAATATGAAAATGGAATGACAAAGAATTCCCTGAATTCCTGTTAGACTGCAAATCATACATGCCCTGAAATTTTCCAGGGGTTTTGTGTGGTTTTGCCTTTGATAGAAGCTTCTGAGAGCTTTATGCTTGTAGTGCTTCTACTTGTAATATGAATATGGAAGGAAGAATCTCCTACAATAGGTAGCATGTGTTAGTGATGTGCTAGTGATGCTGTGATGATTAAAGAAAATATCACAGAAATAAGAAATCTTCAGGCCAATCTCTATTTTATTTGAAAATGTTTAAGTAGACAAATAAAATAATAAAGTGGTTGGCATAGTAATATTCCCTCGTGGGTTTTTTTAGTAGCTGATTCAATTAGACTCTACACTAAGAACAAAAATAGGGTTTTCTGCTTTATGTTTTTAATATTTCAGTAATGGCATTGTGAGTTTAGAAGCTGTGCAGGAAATGTTGTTTGAAAAAGGTGTTCTGCTTTTTTTTCCCCAGTAGTTGCTGTTGTGTCTTAATGCTCTTATGCACATTTTTCATTTCTGCAATGTCGCTAATTTGCTATTACTTGTGATGTTTTGTAACTTGGTGGTTGGTTGTTTTGTGCTCCCCCTAAGTCCAGGTAAGCAGAACAATTAATCACATAGTTAAATTTTCCTGTGGGTTAAGTTTTCTTGTAGATATCTCCATTGTGCTCTTTTTTTTTCCTGGATAATCAATAGAGGAGTTGGAAGGAATAATTTTCTTGAAAGCTGATTGCCATACAAACCAATGTCATTTACTTAAAGATTTAAAGGTGTTTTTTATTTACTTTACAAAAAGTACTCATTCTCTTGCATTCAGTGTGCTCCGCATGCAAGAAGTATGAAATATCACCAGGTTTAAAGAAGCAAAATGACCTCCCCGCTGTCCGCAAACTAGCAGAATGGTTACCCTTCCCATAACTGGCCTTTAGCTATTTTCAGTTGAGATTGTTACTTCTTGCATCATTTCCATGTAGGATGACTTCCTGTTCTTTCATCTCTGTTTTTCCTAGCCATGGAAAGTCTACCAAACCTCTTACATGATGTCCACAAACAAGCTTTTATACAGTTTTATACAGCAGATGCTCCTGCTGTTCAGATCCTTCTTTGTTCCTGCTTGACTTACTACCACATCTTCTTACTGCAGTCACGAAGATGCATAAAATAATGATGCGTGATTTTACTTACCTTGTTGCTGGTCCTTTGTCCTTTGAACCGTGTTGGTTCCTTTGGGTGTGGCTCCCTTAGTAAACACTGAAAGCTAATAATGTGCCTGTGGTTTCCTTGCAGCACATGCAAGTTTTAATGATCCTTATCTCCTCCATTTATTGAATGTATAAAATGTGTTAGGTACAGTGCACCCTGCGGAACAATTATTGATGACATAGTTATTCTTGTCTCACAGATGAAGTCCTTGTTTTTTAAATGGAAATAGATAGTATTTATTAAATTATAAAATATTTGTATGCTGCAGCTAACAAACTGAAATTTTGTCCTTTATTATCAGTAACGTATTTAAAGGCAATGCTTAATCTATGTTACTGTTCTCCTTGTTGATGACATTTGTATCTTCTTTGCTAGTCACGTTATGTGAGAGAACATACATCACCAGGTAGAGTTCTCAGTTGTGGAAAATGTTAATGGTGCCTATGTGCAAACCTAAGGGTAATGTGGTCATTATTTATTTAGAAAAAACAAATAGTTAAATCCCAGTAGACTCTCATTTCTGTAATTAATACATAAGACTTCATGTAGATAAAGGTAAGCTATTTTAGTGTTTTCAGTTCTGTATGAATTGATGTCAACTTTGTGGTTAATTTAATCATATTTCATTTTATAGTATATTTCATATTTAGTGGTCCTGACAACTTGTGCTTTTTTGTGGAGCAACTAATTATTGCAACCAGTCTTACATAGGATAATGTGAAAACTGATTTTTAACTCCTGAAATGATTCAAAAGTGTCCAGTTTAAAGTTAACAATAATTGCGTATAAGATTATTAAACTAGCTGATTGTAATTAAATATGTACTTTTATAGTAATTTTTCACTTGACATATAAAAGCTTGTGTGATTGTATTGCTTGTGGTGCTGAAGGGTTGAGCTTGCTAACTGCCAAGTAGATTTTCTTTTACCTGAAATAGTAGTGGAAACGAAGGTACTGGGTCCTTTAGAGGACTAGACAAACAAAAAACTTGCTAGTCATTTTAAGTGATTGGAATGATGTTTTTTGAGCATCCTGAAAGTTTGTTGAGTGAATTATAAAGATCATGAAATACAATAAAAAACATGTTATGCTTAAATCAACTTTCGGAAATCCAAAGTGCATATCTGTTTTAAGTTCCTGCTGCTACATCTCATACATTGCACAGTAAGTAATTCTATATAACCCTTTTTTCAAAGAGCAATAGTATGATCACAACTGCATGGCATGATTTAAGTTCAGAACTTTGGGCTCTCGATCTGATCATTGAAATAAGGAAGCATTAAAACTTAAAACTTCATTGTTTTTGAAAACATTCATATTTTGCAGTTTACGTAATGCCAAGTATGAGTCACAGTTACTACAAGATAGCAATGAATCAGAATTGGACACTGCTGAAGATCTGAGAAGGCAACTCTGTCAAGCTAAAAAAGAAAAATTAGATTTAACCATTAAACACAACCAAGAAGTAAGGACTTTTTTGTTTATTTCACTGTTGGAATAAATGTAATCTTATTTCATCAAAATAATAGTTTTCTGTGGTGTATCAAAAGCACAGTCATTAGCCGAAAAATAACAAGGAAAGTGGCACTGTACAGACTTCTCATAACTGTTCATAGGACCTCTTAGCACTGCTGCTGGCACTGCTGATAGTTAAAGTTGTACCAACCTGGATGCCCGTTTTCTGCAGGGAGAGGAGTCACTGCCACTACCAGTAGTTTGTTAGATAAAATTGCCTGGTGACACAAATAAGTAAAAGCCACAGTTTGAATCTAGCCTTGTAAAAACCTATTATTTAGTTCTTGTTTATATTTTTTTTCACGGTATAACTTTAGTTCTACAGAAAGCATTTGCAACTCATAAATCTAGTACAGCATTTTAGTGTATGTGTACACCAAATTCAGCTGGGGTATCCTTTAGCATTCTTGCATTCTTGCAGTGTCTCAGCTTGTGCTAATTTGCAGTTTTCAGTAACTATGACAATGTATAATGTACAAATGTGGCTATATGTTTGTTAATAACTTTGTACTTGTTCATGAAAACTTAATTCATAGGGAAGTAATTTAGCTGCATTACAAAGGTTTTCCGTGATGCTGTTGTAGCAAGTTAGTACTGAAATAAAGAAGTAGCAAGAAAATAGTTAATCAATCTTTTGTATAGCTTGAATGTCAGTTTTTGCACTAGTACACATAAGAAAAGGTGGGCACCAAGTACAGCAGTAGTTGTAATTGACTCCGGATTTGTTGCAACCAGGAACACTTCCCACACTTGCTAATGCCAATCTGGCAGCTGATACCCTGCTTTAAACTGTGCTGGTGCAGAAGTATTGCAGGTAACAATTCTGCTCTTAGCAGTTTGCTAGGGGCAGTTGATGCGGGTGCTCATTCATCTGTCTTGGGCTAAATCCAATCAATAAACCAACCTTGCTGTTCCGTATCTATTTATTATTGGAGTATGTATGCAAATTAAGAGATTCCTACTTTTCCCACAATGGCTTGCTGTTTTGGTGCAGTTAATTAATTATTTTCACATTGCTGCATCAACTGTAGGGTAATTCTAGAAAATAGATCCCTGGAATTATCTGGATTTAAAAAAAAAAATAAACAGACCACCTCTTACATTGAGAATTTGAAAACTGGGGGTGCACAAGGAACTTCTGCTATTGTGGTTTGCACCACTAAGTCAGGCTGCATTTTAAGTAGATGAACTACTGGAGAGACTGTTCCCCCCCCCCGCCGCTTATCTGTTTACTGTATAGTTGCACATAAGGGAAGTGCTCAGGTTATGTAGGTAGGTTAACCTACATATGATATTACTGAAGTCAAGGGGCTAGTTTGTAGATGTTCTGAAGAAATACATATTTTACTTTCTACCTTCCTGTGTTGAAATAGCAATTTTCTGGACTCATTTTTTGGCAGCAATGACTGGACTATGTTTTTTAATCTGGATAAGATCACTTTTTTAAGCATTTTCTATTAGTTTGTTGTCTGTTAAATTTAATAGCATTTTGTTTGACTACTGAACATTATTGGACTGAATTTTATGTTCCTGTGTATACTTGTGAGCTATTAGATGTCTGATAGTCTAGCATCCCAACATGACTGTTTTTCTAAGTGTTAAATTTGAAGGAAGTTACCAGGAAATTGCCTGTGGAATATGTTTCTGTTGCTGCAGTTTTTCCTTTGAGGTGCAGGAAGATGACAGTATTATGACTATTATCTTCTTAAGGTAGTGTATTTGGTATATTTAAGGTACATGAAATTCATGTAGGAGTAGGAACAGTTTGCATAAAAAACAGTAAAAGTACTTAAAATCTGCATAAATGTGCATTTCCAAGACTATATTTCAAATTTAAGTGGAATAAGAAGGCAGTGGTAAATGCAATTTTAAATATATTTTAAAAATATTATGTAGGTGTATTTCTGTAACATGTTGCGTTTTTTCAAAGGAGCATTGTTGCCAATTTTCTGAGACAAATTTATTTTCTAGCTGTCCAACTGTGAAAGCCAGATAGTCAAATTGCGGTCAGAAATTGAGAAAGGAGAGGCTGTCCGACAAAGTCTGGAGTATGAATTGGCAATTGCCAGAAAAGATGCTCGTATGAAAACATATGCTGCAGAAGAGGAGTTAAGTGATGCAAAAAACAAACTTGTGGAACTGCAAGGTAGGTTTCGAAAAGGCAAGCATGGAACAAAGGCTAAGTCAGTTCCAAGTCAGGAAGACAAGTGAGAAGCAGTGACTTAATTAACTCACAGGAGTTCACAAAACTTCCTGTCTCGTGTGAATTAAAACTAGCATGCTAAACCTATTGACCCTTTTTCCTCCTGCCCATTACCTTCTGTTGTTCCCTCTTTCACTGCTGTCCTTGTACAGAATTGTCATGGTGGTGGCTATCTTCACGTCCTAGTTATCACTATGTCCAGTAGTTCTTCCTTTTCTATTTCAGGGAAAAAAAAAGAAAAGAAAATGCCCATTTGTGTGTGTTTGTTTGCACTGTTTCCAACAAAATTCTTCTAGAAATTCTCGTCATACTGGTTTTTTTTTTTCGGTCTTTTCAAAGGTTTCAAGCTTTTCTTTGCTAATGTCCAGTTTCTTTTCTTCTTGTCATCCTTATTCTCTTTTTATAGGTAATGGAGAATGTATGTTGTGACAATAGTGTGTGGAAGGGAAGGTTTTTACCTAGATAGTTTTTTCCTACTAGTTTTGTATTCAGAAACTCAGGTTTCCTTGATCCTCCTCAACGGAGAGGGAGAGATTTCTCATTCTTACAAGTGAGGTGCTTTTTTAATTGCCTAAGCAAGTGTAATGCCTTTTGAATCTAGTACAGGAGGTGTATTTGTGAGTTTGATGAACCTTTGATGTTCTGTGAAGAATTGAGAGCGATCCTTGTGGAGATTTTATCCTTCCAAGAATGGAAGGATACTTGGAAACTTGAAAGTGCTTAAAGTACCAGGTGTTTTTAAGATAATTAGAAAGCTGAACTTTTCACTCGTTTGGAGAACACAACCCCCCACCCCAAACTTAGGGATTGCAAACTGGAAGAAAGCATTTTTTTCCCCTTTGGAAATTCCTCTGTGATTGCAAGGTGAAGACTTGAACGGGGTGGTTTCTCACTTAAAGTAAGCATGCTCAGTTGACTGCTAGTTTGCTTGCCAGTTTAGAAGGGAGTAGTATGTGTGTATGCATTTTATAATGCTTTAAATCTGTTTTTGTGATTCACTTTATGATTCAGAAAACTCATTGGCTGCTGTATCGGACACAGCTGGCAGGTGTTGGTTGTGCGTGTGGGTCTGCAGGCAAGCTGTGCGGGAGGAAAGAGATCTGGGTCTGCCTGGAGCTGGTCCTGGGCAGCTCCACAGCAGGCAGACCCACTCACCACCGCGTGCCAGACAGCCCACCAGAGAGTGTGTGATGCCTCTGCTGAAGCATTTTTTAGAAGGGGTGGTAAATGCGAAGAGGAAGAGAAAAAGAAGAGAAAAAAAGAAACAGTGGGAGATACAGGAGCAGAGCAGCAGGCTGAGCAGGGGCTGGGGCTGAAGTGGTGACTACCCGTGCAGGCATCAAGAGGTGGGGCACTAAAGGGGCTGTTTCTGGTGGAGGAACCACAGCACAGTGACCCCAGCCCACTGTGTGGCCTGACACCTCCCTGAAGGGACTGGGCTAAGGTGTGGTGGGGGGACTGGAGGACAAAAAGAGGGTAGGGGAGGTTTTACAGAGGCAATGGATGTTTGCCTAAATGTGTGTGTTAGTTCCTTTCAATACCAGAATCAGCAGTGAGAAGTCTGTTAACTGACAATAAATTACATGGGTTGAAATTTCTCAAACTTTTTTTTTTTTTTTTAACCTGTGACAGGTGCCAAAGAAATCAAATCATCATAGTGTTGCTTCTTAGTTCTTTTGCAGTTTGTAACTTGTCGCTTGTTTCCCTGGTCACTTAGAGCCTACCTCACCTCATGTGGTGCTTTGATATGACCCCGGCTTGGCTCCCTGGACAGAAGGCATAATTTGTGGCACATCCTCTTCAGTATTTCCTCCAAATTGTTTTTCTGCTGTTTTCAGTGGGGCTTGACTTTCTGCCTTGTGATGGTCCTTTCCCTCATTGTGTCCACTGGTTCTGTTTGTTGTCTTAATGTGCCTCTTCTGTTTGTTTTATCCTCTGACTGGGAAGAGATTTCAGAAAACTGGGATGAGTTTGGAGTAAAAATGTGTTAGAAAGTGGTGATCACTTGAAAGGCCAGTGTAACTAGTTGTATTCAGCAAAATGAAAAGCTGATACAAAGTACCTGCATCTGAAAGCCAGTTTGTAAAATAAAATGAAGTTCCTAATCAAAATGCTTAAATAGGCGTAAGTAATGAAGGTTTCGACAGCATGAGCTTTCACAGAAGAGTATGTGCCATGTTCCCCTATCTCAGGGCATTTGCTCGGCTGAAGCTTTACATGTCTTGAGCAGCAGTGATTTCCTTGGAAAAGCTAAACCTTTGGTTGCAAGCCCAACCTGCCTTAGGTTTTCCCAAGTCCCTTTCGTGCCTATCTTTACTGTTACTTAAACTAAGCTCAAAATTAATTGATACACACTACTATCTGTATCAAGTAGACATTTGGAAAGAAGCTGGCCAAATGTAGAAATCTGAAATTAAGTCCTCTGTGCTATAGAGACCACACTTGAAAGAGTTGTATCGACTGTTCATTCTTTTTCCAAGAGGAGAAGAGTTTTAATTTATAAAAATCTCTAAAGCATCCCTTTTCTAAAAATCTCTAAAGCATCGCTATATCCTTGTGTGAAAGATACTGTAGGAACACAGAATTTGATTGTTTCTTTGTAGTGAAGGTGGTACTCTCCAGTGTTGGAAGTTTTTCCAGTGTTCCACAGGATATCACAATACACGGAAGAACTGATGATCATCATACATTTTTTTTTCTGAACATGCTTTGCAGTGCTGTTTGTCTTCTTTCTTTCTTTTTTTCTGTAAACAATAGTATTGAATGAGAAACTTCAGCAGAAAGTGGCAGAGACTGAGACAGCATTTCATACTGCTCAGCAGAAGTGGAAAGAGCAACAGAAAAGACTCGTAAGTGAGAAGGATGATATCCGCAGAACTTGCAGCAGTGAATATGAACTGCTTCTTAAGGAAAGAACCAAACTAGAAAGTGTTTTGCAGGTATGATGTACTAGTAGTTGGAAAGTTGCATGAGATAACAGCTGAAACTTTTTTGGTGCAAAGTGTGTGGTGGGTTTGGGTTTCTCTGGTTTAGGGGGAAAAAACCCCAAATAGCTAATACTGCAGAGTATTTCTGAAGAATATAGCATTATAAACTTACACTTACTGTGTCACAGTCTTGCTTGCTTTGAAGGAATATGTTCTGGCTGATTTTCATGGTAAACACCTAAACCAAGTTACCGGTGCACAGTGGTAGTAAGGCCCATTTGCACTGCAAAGCTGAGTTGGTGAGATGAGAGACAATCAACACATAGCTTCTGACTCCATTTCACTCTGCCCTCCCTTAGTTTGACATCAAATAGCCTGTGAGCATGGAAAGCATTCGTATAATATGGAGACTACACACCGTCAGGGAACCCAAAAAGTGATGATGGGATTTCTGACTGTGCATTGTACATTATTCACTCCATGCCACGTATAAAAAATGGCTGTTGTTGGAAATTCTGCCGTTTGGTTAGAAAAAAAATCATTTAATACAAAGAGATGGCATTGTAGTCTGTTATAGTCTGTGGGGTTTCATTCTTCAGGTAATTCATTTCATTGTATTTAATGCAAAAAATAATTTTCACGTTGAGTTGCCCTGGTATGCATAAGTCCCTTAGATGCTAAATGTGTAAAAAATAATAAAAATATGAACTTTTAAATACTTTTTTGTACAGTCAAGCTATTTGAAACTGAATTACGTTTCAAAGAAATCCAGTACTATTATGGTGTGGAAGTGCTGAGTTAATATACCCAACTTCTACCTGCTCTCCAGGGACACAAACAATTACACAACTATAATAATTTAAATCTTTTTAATTAACAATTGAATCACATTATATCTTAGCAATATAATAATACTGTCTGAGGAAAGTGGAGAATGTATTCAGCTATAGTTATCTTTTATGCTTTAGTCCTTTTAAGAAATGCAGTTCAGAGGCTCTGTTAAGGCTAATAGCCGTTTACTACTAAGTATGCTGCCTGCAGAGGACCGATGGCTATAAGATGCGCTTTCTTTTATTTAGTGAGACTGTTTTTTACCTGCCTATTTTCTTCTTTTGTAGCTCCCTTTAAGATGTGGCAGACTTGTCTCAGTTGGTCTGGGCGTTGGTCAAGCAGTAGAAAAGCAGCCTTGCTTTCTTCCCACCCAGTCAGCTCCAAGCCTTGGACAGTGCCAAACAGTCTTCCCAAATGACACAATACAGTCCTCACCTGCCAGCTTGATAGCCAGGTTCTGACAACAAACGTACCTGTTGTACTATGTTACGGTGCTGTTGGTCAGATTCTATACGACATCTGTAGAGGCAGCTCTAGAAAAACAAGGGCAGAGAGAATTCCTTAATTATGTGTATTCCCAAAGTACTGTGTAGCGACTCTTCAGAAGTTTGAAGGCAAGATCTGGAAAGAGAGGTGCAATAACGAGACCTGAAGTAGAAATCAGGTAGTGTGTGGGTATGTAGTGGTTATTTTGATGACCAGGAGCGCTGATGGTGGAGAAGGATTCCACTGAATTGGAGTTTCTCTGAACAAAGGACAAAAAGGAAGTTCCCTGCTTTCCACTCTCCCTAGTAATTTTGTGGATATATTGAACGGCGCTTTGAAGTAACAGTTAGGAGAACCAGAAAGGAATAGTTAAGCAAAAAAACAAAACCAAAAAAAACCCAACAAAAGAGAAAGCCAAGGAAAGCGATTTCAGAGAAAAATGTAGGAGGGTTGACAGGTAATGCCCTAAGATCCTGCTCAAACCAACGGAAACATAATTCAGTTTTTCATTCGAAGTTGATGCTTAAAAATGTAGGGTTAGGTACAGGCTATGAGGAAACCTGTTTTTGGATACACTTGTTTTGAGTTGCCAAGTAAAGCAGGCTGAGAGTGGGGCTTTGGCTCCGAGTTCTGTTGAACAGTAGGCTGAGTTGAGTTGAGGAGGCTTTGGAGCGGGCTTGTCTACTGCTCTGTACAGTGTTTTGCAGAAGCCACATTCAGTGACTTTAATACTGCATAAAAAGAGCAATGTTGGAGAGGTACACTTTCTCAAGTGATGTTTGGCCTCAGATCAACAGGAGCAGTGGATTGCTTGGGACGTGTTCTCTGTCAGTGGATGTATATTGAGAAGTAAAGGTGATCTGCAGAGGCAGCTGTTTGGTTGCTAAATGTACTAAAGCTAGAAAATCGTTCCCTCCTAAGGTAAACCTGATTCACTGCTAGGTGTCAACTCCCAACCTGCTTTCAGTAGTAAAAAAGTTGTATTTTCACACTTTGCTTTTGCAGCCGTTCCCCTGACTCTAGTTACAGGTTTTATGTGCAGTTATAAAATGTCAGCAAATTAAATGTACATAAATAGATGTTAAGTATGGACTTAAGTGCCTTAGTCGTTGCTTGAAAGCTGAATTGATTTGAACTTTGCAGATAAATGTCAGAAGAATCTGAGCTTACAAGCTGTGACTTCAAATGTGCTCGTCTTTTGCGTTGTGTATTTACAGGCCTGTTTTAAACACTTTTATAGTTATTCAGAGTTATGAAATGAAAACTAGATGAAGTGGATTTAGTTTTGGTCTTAGGTACGTGGAAATGAGACTCTTAAGCAGCTATGCAAATCCTGGTTGGAAAAGCAGCGCTTCATGAACTGTAGTTCTGAACTTGGCTATGAAAATGCTGAGATAGGCATGGAAATGAAGTCAGCTTAACCTATTGAAATATGTCTCCAAGATATGGAGGGAAAGTAATCCGCTCTGCCTTCTAACAGGTTTTGTGGTGTTCTCTGTTGGGTGTGCTGAGCATGCCATCAGTTTTGTAGTAAGAGATGTTGGAGTTCAATAGTAAGTGCAATAGCATCACCTGGTGGTTAGTCAGAGTATAATATTCCTTCACAGAAGCACTCAAGTTTTTCCTAGACTGCTTGTGAAATTGTGTTGTTTGTGAACAATTTTTTTTAAAAAAAGCAGCCGTGTTTCTCATAAGCAGAGATATATATCTATATGTAGTGTGTATATGGCATGCAGGTATACATACTGTGTTTTGTTTGTTTGGCTGGTTTTTGTACATGGTGAACTATTCTTCTCTTTGAACTATTTAAGTGCAGTTGACCGCTGGGATAGTCTTGTGGTTTCATACCAAGTCTTAAAAGTTCAGAGACTTTAAGATTCTGAAATTCTACAACTCACGTTGACATATATTGCAAGCTTGATGTATTCGTCTCAATTTTAGTCTGATTAATGCTAATTATGTTTCCAGCATAAAAAGTTTTGAAATCTTGATGTAGTGTTTTGCAGCAAACTGTGTATTACTTATCTCACGTGTGCCTTTCCCAGCTCACTTTTGCTAATGTCTGGAAGATATACCTGGAGAGGTAAAGATCTCTGTGTCTTTCCAGTGTAGAGAGAGTTGGAGTAGTTGTATGTTTCTATAAAAATGGTTAAAATTTTTTTTTGGCATACTGGTAGGAAGAAACCTGTGCACTGGCTTGATATTACAGGCAAAGTTAGGGGATTAGCTTAATATTAGTCTGTATCCAGGTACACTATTTTTGCAATAGTTTGATTTACTGAGGTTCCCACTTTTTTCCTTCATGTGTTTCACATGCATGCTCCTTGTTATCTTTTCAGAGAATGCTGGAAAATCATGCTGTAGTGCCTGCACACGAAAGAAGAGAAAATAAAATTGATATTTTCAGTTACTAATTGGTAGCCCTGTAGAAGAGTTGTGATTCCCTTATTGTCATGTTTGAGTGGCCAAAACTTTCTACTTCAGTCTGGAGGAACTTCTAAAAATCATTTTCCAAACTTGGGAAAAGACTCCTATTTCTTGGATCTTCATGTATAAACATGGTTCTGTCAGACTTCAGTCTTCCAAGGAATCATTCTATATGAATAATTCATTTTCTCCTCCTCCTCCCTGCTCTGCAGATGCCTTATGATTAGTAATTTCTAGGAACAAGATTATGTGATGTAAGGGTAATAGCAGAATTTGCAGACCAACTGGTTTATTTTCACAGAATGTCTCTTGCCATGATATTGAGTAGGAGTAAATGAACAGGAGGACTTAACTGTAATCTATCTGTGTTTTGCACAGAAAGTAATTTTAACAAATTGGGTCTCCAAAGGTCCTCCAACTAAATCACTGGATTTACAGCTTGTTTCTGATGCTAGTTATGGAAAAGCTTATTCCTGTCCATGAGGCCAAAGCTGTTCTTTTTGAGACTTTGGGATCTCCAGCTTAAGTATGTGCTAGACTACTGGGGTTTCATTACTTGGCTCCTTTACTCTGAGCTTGGTGTGGTGTGAATGTGGATTTTGTAATTGTGGCTCCACAGAGCTGCAGGGTCCAGCAGTGTTAGTAATTATCCCAGCCTGTAGCTTGGTTCAACTTCTGAACGCAGAAACTGAAGTGGGGGAACAGCTTGGTTATTTTATTCTACTGACTGCAAACTTTGTAGTTGATGTAGATAGCTTTTTTTAAAAGTAATTCAGTTTCTAGACAGAAGAAAGTCTTTCTCAGAATAGCAGAGATGAAGGTTATTTAGTCTATGACAGTAACTGTTTCTAAAAATGTCAGATTTGATTTCAAATTATAACAATTTAAACCAGAACAAAACAGAGTTTCTGTACCTATGTATCATTTTGTCAAAAGCACTTAACTGTTTCTGTCTCCATCATTGCCATTGAGCTGGGAGAGAGAAATGATTGGAGGGACAGCCTTGTACTCTTTAGAGCGTAAGATTTTGTGTGGGGAATTGGCTCTGATCTTAGTATTACTGCAGAAAATCATGTTCATAGTGATTTTTGAACCAATATATTTTACCTGGTGGTGAATGAAGAGCATGTCTGCTGTTGGGTAAATGGTCCTGTGCTAACATGTGAGATTTCCTCTTTTGAACTCTTTGCTATAATACTCTATCTTGGTAAAAGTATCTCTTAATGTTTTGGTTTTTTTTTTGGTAGGAGCAGAGTAATGCACTGCAAAATATACGCAAGAAAATGAAAGATATGGAGGTGGAACACAATGGCTATAGTGACCTGGTGAGGCGCCAGGCCAATGAGCTTCAATACAGTGCTGAACGAGAGGAACAATTTAAGAAAGAACTTGAAGTAAGGCTTTTTGAATATTGCTGTTAGTCTGAACAAGTGCTGACACTCTGAGCCATTTTGGTTTTGAGGGATGGAACCTCCCAGTTAGGCTGTGAATTCGTTGTACTGGATTAACAAAGTGTTGAACATCTGTTTCCCAGAAAAGTCTGGACAGGTGAATGCCACTTACACTGTGTGCCTGACTTGAGGCTGGTGTTTGAACAGCAGGTGGGAAAGGGTTTATGTAAGCGTGAAAACAAGGCTAACTTGACTTCAGGAAATCTGTACATTTCCCCTAACCTCTCAATTTGTCTGTCTTCCTGTCTTCTTGGCTTAAGAACAGATTTTTGAGGATTAATGAAGTTGCGATGGACGATCTGCTGGAGCTGAGAAAGTCACCAGACATTGTGCTAGGTGGAGAGAACAGCATACTGAAAGATCACAGTGGTGTTATGGCAGCCTCTTCCTATTTAGACTTAAATGCTACAGGTAGTTTTAGTTTGCCTGTCTCATTGACAGCCATTGCTGAGAAGTCTCAAGTCTTGAAAACTAGCATCTTGTAAACGTGCTCGTTTTACTAAACTGCAAGTTCCCTCCTAAGTTTCAACATTTCTTTGTCCACTAATAGGCTTTGTAGCAACTGTGTTATCTGCACATATGCTCTGGACCAGTGATTTTTTGGTACAACATTTGTCACTGCAGAAAATCATAGTGACCAGATGATTCTTCATCCTGATGTAAGGTTTCTACCAAAGGCATCTTTAAATATTTTCTGCAACAAATTTTTAAGGATTGACACTTGGAGGATTTTGGGAGCACTTAAAGGAATAAGTGACATACAGTTTTCAGCTGTGTTTGTTATTTTTCCCTTAAAGGCAAAAGAAGTGTTTAAAGCATTGATTGCTTGGTAGGTAGAGCCCTGCATTAACGGTGAAGTACAAAAGAAAATTCCTACAGGCAAGATCAAAGCTCATCAACTAAAAACACTGACTTATTGACCAACAAGGTAGACTTTTGTGTCCTCAAAAAGATCTACAGGAAATCTATTGTCAGGTGTTGTGAGCTGCATGTATTGGCCTAGGCAGAATTACCTTCAACTGAAAAGTGCTATGTACTGTGAAGTTCCAATAGACCTTTTAACAACAAAGATTTTTGCTTCCAAGGACTTGAACAAGGGCTTTTTTGTGACTTCGTGGCTTTTAATATATTAATATAGGAATCATGACCTGAAAGGAGGAGGAGCAAGGCGGCAAATTATTTATCTTTCTAAATATTTTTATTGTATATACTCACCATCTGTAAATTTGAAAAGGAGACACTCAGTTTCTTAAAAATGTGGAACTGCTGTGCCCTGGATATGGTTTTATCAGGGAATGTGATCTGTTAGCCACAATCAGCTAAGATATTTTCATTGCTGATAAATTTTTATTAAATTATTTTAACTTATTGAATCTCTTAATAATGTCATGAGGAAACATGACAAACATGAGGAAACAAAATTCAGACTACAGATAAATCAGTCTTGTGGTACGTGTAGCTATGTCTAGTTATTTAAGCAGTAATTAAGGAAAGTATGTGATGAAACCTCTTGCATTCTGAAATTTTAGGAAATTAGCACACATCCCTGTTATTTTTGTTAAAAGAAGAGGTCTAAGTTAGACTGCAGTGCATATGCTTTAGTCAGCTTGCATCTCATTTCACCATCTCAAAAGTAAATTGCATGTCTGTAAGTATCTGAATGGGCCTACAATAATAACTTACCCATTCTATACTTGAAGTCAAAGAGGAATTAACTAATGAGCATCTCTGAAAATACTTTATTCTTTAAGAAGCAAAAGTGTTAGATATTTTAAGTTTTCAATATTCATTACTGTAGATGGTATTGATTACTATAGGCTTCATACTGGATAGTGGACTCAGACTTTGTGACAACAGCAGCAGCTGCATCTTACAGGGTACCAGTACTCTGCATCGCCATTCATGAAGCAAAATTTGTTCTGCCTTTTCTGTGGTCATGAAAGGCTGCAGGGGTTCTGAAGTTCAAAACTCAAGTTAATAAAATCTATTTTAAGTTATTCTCTCACCCATTACCACTTTTTTGGGAAAGGATTTACTGAGGGACAGTTTAGCATTAACAGAGTTTGAAATCTAATTGTAACCTTTCTTTGATGTATAAATTTGTCATTCCTTTTTCTGTCTTACCTTGTGGAGCTCAGTCAGGCAGAGGTGTTATCTGTTCTTCATGCTGAAACAGAGTGGAAAGACCTCAACCATAGGGACCAGATAAGCTGCTCTTCACCTCTGTAGATCAGTTGTTGGAACTTTGGTCTTGCAGGCTGTAAGGGAAGGAAATGGAGCAGTGTTGAAGGACAGATCTGTTGCATAAAGGAGGGGAAATGAACACAATCTTCCCTTCTGATTGTGTTTGACAGAAAGGACTATGCCCTTTTAAAAGGGCATGCTGCATTCCCAAGTAGAAAGGAGAGCTGCAGTGAAGCCTGGAGATTTTTGGGATTTACACTCATTGCTGTCAGTAGAATTTCCTCCTCTTTGTCTTAACAGCTGCTTCGCTAGCCTGTTGGTTTCTGTGGATCACATTCTTAGTTGCCAAATTCTTCCCATATACTGTGGAAGAGGCATTAAAGAAGGGCGCTAAAGCCTGGGCGGTAGATTTCACTGTGTGCCAAAGTCTCCTTATGCTTCTGCCTGTTATGACTCTCACTTAGTGCTGTGGTGTTCTAGCTGTCAATTTAAAACTCCTCAGTGTGTGGGAATAAATGTTACCCATGTTAGAAATACGGGTAAGGTTCTGGTAGCCAGTCCTGTACCTCCAGCTGTGGTTAAATAGAACTCTTATTTTTGCCTATGATGTCAGTATTTGGGATGGATTTCCATTCAGATATAGAAGCCTTAAAGTAGTGCACCCTAGACAGAACGATCTACATTTTTTCATGAAATAGCCCTGTATTTCTTCATGTCTCTTCATGGAATTTTTAGCTCGTAGATTGAAATTCATTTTTTTTGGGAAGATGGACACAGGAGACATGTCTTACTCCAGCTTCCCTGTGGAATACCTTGTGTTAATGGGCATTTGGTTAGAAAATGTATACTTAAGTTCTTGATGAACTTCTTCAGGTGATTTGTGTGAAAAGTAGTGTAATTCTAGTTAAAAGGCAATCTTACAGTCTTTTGTTATACGCTACCACTTGATATGCAGCATGGGTGAACTTATTTTTGAGTTCACAAAGCTGTTAATTTACTACCCTCTGCTGGACATAAAGGAGAGAAGTATACAGGAAAATATGTTTCAGTAATGAAAGGAAATGATAAATTTAGAATCTTTTTGTACGATGGCACTCTTATGAAGAAGTGTATGTAATAAACTATATTATAAAGAAGGAAAAGTGAAAAAAATCTGCCCCCTTCCCCCTTTTTTTTTTTTAAATATTAGTCTGGTTTTATCCTTCCGTCGTTATTCTGAACATGGTCTAAAAGAGGGCATTTCTGGTTTCTGGAATTAGAAATGAAGACAAAGAATAATGGCAGGTTTGTGTGGACTATTCAGTTAAAAGGTAGCTGTTGGTACAGTGTCTAAACTGCTAGCTTTCCAGTTTGCAGTGATACCAGTGTTGTGTACCATAGCATGGACATGGAGTCCTTCCAAAGTGGAACATGCACTGTACCAGAAAAATTTAGGTTGGAAACCTTACTCTCGTTCTGCCTTTTTAGCCTAAGAGTCAGTAGTCGAACAATTTTCATGTGTTTGTGTTGAACTCATCAAGATACTGCTATTTATGATAATCAGTTTCCTGGAACCAATGTCTTTTATTTTAGCCTTTAGCTCCATTGCTCTGGCAAGATGATTTCTTGGGAAATACAAGAGCAATTTGTATATAAAAGTAGTGTTTCTTGTGATGTGTCTAGCTGCCAAGAAGCTGGGTGGGAAAGCTGTTTGACGAAGAGTGGAGGAAAGGGGAATGTGGATTTTACCATGAGAAAGAGAATTATTGGTTCATAAATTTCAAACTCTTTGTCTTGTTCACAGAAATGTAATGATTTTCTATTGTTTGTTTTATGTGTTTGAGGCTGCCAACTCTTAGTAAGCTGGAGCTCAAGGTCTCTCAAAGTTTTTAAGCATTTCTCATAAGGCCTGAAAAATGTCCGCTAACTTGGTCCATTTTATTTTCTGAGACTGAGTATATTGCGGTATTTCTGAGACTTTGAGTTACTATTTAAAGACCCTTAGCTTTCACGTTGCCTTTCCTGCTCCCCCACCTGTAAGTATATTGACCTTTTCATGTCCTGCTGACTGTGTCATCTTGTATCAGCTTGGTAATGCTGCTGTGGTGGGGAGATGAGTGCGAAGAAGACTTGAGCCATGGTCCATCTCTGTATTTGCAGGAGGTATATGTACATGCAATAGTTTCAGGCTGTGGGTGTATTAAATTTCTTACTGTGTCAGTCAGTGAAACATGAAATTTATGTCCCAGCTAAAAACAAAGCAAAACAACGCAAACCTGCAGACCTGCTTTTTCTTCTCCTTCTTGTTATTAATTTCACCATGAACTGCAGTGTTAGGTAAGTTACAATTCTCAGAAGAAAGACTTCAAAAAGCTCCAGGCAATGCAAGAGAGGACACATTCCACAGCCAGTTAACAGTGCTACTGGTTAAACTTTAAACTACTTTTTGTCTTTTATGACTACACGCTTCTTGATGGCTTATTCCTACTTAAACCTCTGCTTTCTAGTGTCTCCACAATGTACAGCTGACATCTAGGAATTCTAGCTACCGTGACTCTTGTATATCCTCCAAGTACAGTGGTTTTCATAATGGTATCTCTGTGGTGGCTCCAAAGTTCGTGTTTCCCCAGTGACAAGCTCACTGACGTAAGGCACTTTCTGTGAGGATCTTCCTCGTTACCATCTGCTATGTCATCGTATTACGTCCAGTTTGAAGGCTGTTCACTCTTACCCCACCATCAGACCAAAGTTGTTTGAATACTGTCTTATGTAGCCCTCAC